TGGTAAAGCATATCAGGTGATAAACAATGAAATAACAAAAATGAATTTGTTGTGTATCGAAAACATTGTCTTTTTCGCATCTTCACAATTTGATTGCTCCAAATTTTGTCGATTTCGAAAACAAAAATTGCAGCTATAAAATAAGTGGTCGTATGCAAATTGTAGAGCTTTTCACGCTGCATCTTATAGTATATTTTGGTTATTAATACAACTAGTAAGAAATCGAAAACTGCAATGCAAAACTTACAACCAGCATATAACCAGCCGAAATTGGTTTTATAGATAATTTAATACTATGAGATTAGTTGAAGTACGATCAAATAGTATAGAAAGATAGAGCATTTTTTTCTCTATCAGACTATATAGAAAGAAAGTTTCTTAAAGCCTACTATAGGGTATTAAAGTGTCACTGCCAGTACTTTTGGTATGCCCTAAGTAGAAAATGAGTAGACATGAGTAAGGCTAGCCGTTTTGGTCTCGACCTTGAATTATGCAAAAACTACCAACAACTAATTGACAACAACGATTACTACTCGATTGAACGTAATCTATTACTACCCTCCAGGTCAATTTTGTTTTTACTTAGTTCAGAGTCACCTAGCCAAAATCAGAGATTTTTGAAAAATCTTTATAACTCTTGAATAGTACCAGTTAGATATTTCAGACTTGCATAGTTCAAAGGAAAAGAATTTTTTTCAATTGAATATATATTTTAAAACTTAAAACTCAGTGTTGAATCTCTGAAAATCATAATCGTTTTCTAAAGACATCCGGATGGAAAAAAAAAGCTTTTATACTATAGTTCAGCGTACACTAAACTTGACTACAAACTGACGAAATTCATTTGACAATATATCTCTTCATATTCACATTTGATTTAAGTACAACATACGATCAATCGTTTTCATAATTTAATTAATTCATTCGTTGATAGTTGACTTAGTGGTAGCATTACCTGATCTATTTCATTAGAAAAAACAAAATACACTACAAGACGCAGCATGAAAAGCTCTACAATTTACAAAGAACAATTATAAAAAGATACGATACAAAAAAAATCAATTCGTCTTTTACCAAAAAACAATCCCATTTTCGTAACGTCGAAAATAGGTCGGTCAGAGTTTTGTCCATTTCCAAAATAAAAAGTGCAACTATTAAATAAGTGATCCTTTATAAATTGTAGAGCTTTTCAAGCTGCATCTTGTGGTATATTTTGTTTTTTTTTTAGTACAACATATTAAGTGATAATAAAATGAAATACAAAAATGTCCCATCCATTATGATCTAATGTTACCAGCTAGTTTCCAACAAAAAACAGTTTTTATCGAAATTTTATTATTATTATATCAGTTGAATAGTGACCAAATAGCATAGAAAAATAGAGGGAAAGACGCTCTATCTTTTCATAAAAAAAAGAAAATTTTTTCAACCTTTCTATAAGGTAATAAGACCCTGACGACCCTACTTTTGTATATCCCTAAGTAATTTTATTTAGACTATATTAAGGGGCCCCCCTCAGAAAAGATTTTCCACTTAAGATGGTCCTTTTGGGCTGAAATTTTCAGGAATGAGTGATCTTGGAGAGATACGCTTCTGGTAAAAATTTCAGATCGATTGGTCGCACTAGACCGGATTTCCAGCTGATTCACAGGTCATTTTTGGCCTTCAGGAGAATCGATATAACTTCGTCGTAAGATGGAGTAGAGAGCTCGAGTTGGTGTCAAATTAAAGCCAATGTGAGTATGCAACTTTTGTCCGAACAGAATTTTGAAATTCAATCTCATTCATTTTTTATGAGCATTTTAGTGGGATGGTCTTAAAATTAGCATAAAAAATAGTGGTCCAACGACAGTAAATCCCACTTTTCTCAGTCCAGGAACCAACTATAAAAAATCCGTTCGGACAAAAATTTACTCTCATTAAGACCTTTAAAACAAAAAAAAATTATTGACTACAGCTTGAGACAGGACGGAGTTATTTCAATTTTTCTGTCTGGAAATCGTATTTTGAGAAAAACGCTAAAGAAATTTTAGAACTGGATTTTTTCATTCAAATCCAGAAAAAATCATATTACAATGGTATATTATTAATTCATTCCAGTGAATCGTTGTAGACTACGTAAGAGATGAAGGTAACTAACGCCATCTGACATGCTGGGTAATATAAAAGTGTTCTACTCAATGCTAATGCAAGTGACAACGCAGTTTTTTCAAAACTGAAACACCTGAAAATTTCTCCGAAAATATGGTAGTAGAGTCAAAGTTTTATATGATAAGTCTTTGAAAATCTGGTCATTTTCCAAAAAGCTATATATATTCTGAAAGAGGAAGCTTCGCCGCATCTTCCTGTGATAAAAATTCGATTTTCTAGGGGGGGGGGGGGGCTTAACATGCCCTCCAGAAGTTTGATTTTCTGAAGTTCCTATCTTTACGAATTTGGTAATAATATTAATATTTATTTCTTTATATTCTTATTAGATTTTTTTTCTAACGCTTTTACTAATGGAAAATAAACCTGGTTGAATAATTTTAATACATTGTTATCAAAGATCTTTGTTTTTTGTTTTTTTTATCTTTTATAAGAGTAATTGATGATTGACCTTACATTGTACTAGCATGTTGTTAATTATAAACATTGATGAAACAAAACAAAAAAAAAACAAGAGCATTTCTTCTATAAGATAATTAAGAGTTTTACATTATTTAAATTTTTGTCTCAAATTTAGAATAATATTTTTCGTATTATAAAAAAAATATTGTCAACTGATGAGAGAAGAATATAAACTTACCGGCTTGGAAAATATTTATTGCTATTTAATAATGAAGCGGCACCATCGAGTGTATGCCTTGTATAATCAATAGCGGGACACTATAAAAGAAATTTATTAATAGAAAAAAAAAAAAAAGTCATGTGAATAAAATAGTTTACTTCTTTTGGATTTTTATGTGCAGCACATAAAAATATCCATTGTTCAGTTGCTGTCATTTGTGAACAAGTTTCAGGTAAACATTCTTTCTAAACAAAACAAAAAAAGATTATTTATTAAATTTAAATTCTATTTTATTAAATAAATACTTGTAAAAGAACAGTTAAATCATTCAATTCAAGACAAAATTGTCTTAAATGTTCATATTTCCAAACACCTTCATCTTGTTGATCAGGTGCTTGAAGAATAAAATCAACATCAGATGGATTACGTCGAATTGATTGTTGAATATACTATACAAATAAACCAAGTAATCAATTATAGAATTTCATTTTTTAAATATTACTTGTTGAATATGATAGAGTGAATCCATATTTTCTGATGTTTCTTCTGGCCAATGACACCAATCTTTTGCTTTAGTGCCAGGCCGATTACGACGTAATGGTAATCTTGTATTAATTTGTAAATCAGTCATATCTAAAATATATGATAATAGATAGGACAAATATTATTATTGTTGGAAATATTTTAATATACAAAAAAAAAAAAAAATACATATAATGTTGTATTCATTTTTATTTTATCAATTTAATTACTCATTTATTTATTATCTTGACAAAATATATCGAAATATAATTGAGATTATATGAATAATAATTTTAATTTATCAATAATTTCATCAATAGATTTGACTACAATCCAATGATTATCTAATTCTCGATTCATAAAACGTTCATTAAACATATTTTCAAATAATTCTAATAATGGATTATAAAATCCATCGATATTAATAATAAATATTGGTATATGAATTAAATCAAGACGTTTCCAAGTTATAGCTTCCATTAATTCTTCAACTGTTCCTGTACCACCAGGTAATGCAATAATACCATCAGAATTCATCATCATACCATGTTTACGTATATGTATTGTTTCAACTTCATGTACTTCTGTTAAACCAGGATGTAATAATTCATTTTTCATAAATTTTGGTATCCATCCAATAACTTTTCCTTGAGCATTAAGTGCTCCATCAGCTACAGCACCCATAACACCTTGTTGTGCTCCACCATAAACAACAGTTATATTCATTCGAGCAAGTGCTTCACCTAATTGTTGACCAGCATCCAAAAATTTCTTATCACATATATCACTCGATGCACAATATACACAAATACGTTTTGATGTCATCTTAAACAAACAAACAAACAAACAAATAAATGAAAATAAATTTAATTTAGAAATTTTTCACGTAAAACAAACAAAAGAAATAGATGTACAAAAATGTATATATATATATATATATATATATTTAAAGATCAACACGTGATGCCAGAGGTATAGTTCGAAGTTCATATTTTTTTGATAGATGTTCAGATAGTATTGTCATAATAACAATGGAGAAAAATTGTGTAATATACCAAGAAAATATACGCGGATATTGAGAATTATAAATCCAACAAGCTATAAAATGATATACATGAATTGTTAACGAAAAATCTAAACATTGTTTATATCGACCAACTATATAAAGAATTGCTAAGGCACTAAATATAAAGAAAAAAAGCAAAGTTATTAGCATAATTTTTGTAATAGTTAAAATTTCAGTTCTCTATCTTGTTCATATTAAAAGTTATTAAAGAAAACAAAAAAAAATTTATTTACCTTGTTAAAGCATTTAGAAGAAATACACCAGTAAATAATCGACTACTCCAATTAGAGATATTAAAAATCTAATAATTAAACAATAATTATAGAATATCTATTAAAAAGATGTTTTTTTTTAGTACTTCATAAGAGAATATATAATCAAGTGAAGGTGCTCGATCAAGTGCAATTGTTATAAATAATACCCAAAATCCAAGTCCTAAATAATATAATGTTTGCACAGCAATAATCTGACTAATGATTAACCATGGATCCCACTTTTGATAACGAAAACCGTTCATTTTGTTGATTAAATCAAATAGAAAAACATATCTAGAAAACAAAACAAAATCTAGGTTTTTTTTTTTTCGTTTTTCGTTTTATTCTTTTTGTTAAAATCTTCTTATATAGTTTTAAATAGTTGAACAACAAATGCTCGATAAAAAACATATGAAAACAAAACGAGCAATGATCGAAAATATTTTATTTTTATTTCTTCTTGCCACGTCGTTGATGACCACCGGCTTTCTTAGGTTTACCACCTAAAATTTTAGGCAAAAACAAAAAGAAAAAATTTCATAAATATAACAAAATTAAAATTTTACCTGGCATAATAACACCTTCATATGTTTGTTGAAACCATTTAATAGCTTCATCTTTTGTTATTCTATGTGATGCACCTATACGTGCTTTCTTATGTTTACGTTTACCAATATCGTAACCGGCTCGACCGAGAACAACATAAAAGTCCATACCATAGATACCAATAGATGGATCATATTTAATACCTATACAAGATTTAACATATATATTAGTACAAGAGAAATATTTTAGATGATATGCACTGTAGTCATCAAAGAATGGCGAAAGTCGATGGTTGAGTAAGTAAAGTGATGGACAAATGTTTAGAAACAACGATTTTTTTCATAATGTTAAGCACCTAGCTCCAATCCAAATAGTAATTTTAATAGCCAATGGAGTTCTCTATCGAATACACTTTATAGCAAGATTTCACAGATGAACAATGATGACAAGATTCCTAATAAATCGAACACGGTATTTTTCAAGTTCGAGAAGACTTTGTCAGAGCAATTTTTAAATGGTACCATCCTAAAGAACACAAAATTCTGAGTAAAATGAGGGTCGCTGAGTTTTCTACGACATTCTCATAAAAAGATACAAGCATCACAAAAATCATGAAAAAATGAAATTTTTTTAAAAATCGACTAATAACACCTTTTTCATGATTTTTGTGATACTTGTAACTTTTTATGAGAAGTTCGTAGAAAACTCGGCGACTCCTCATTTTACTTAGAATTTTGTGCTCTTTAACATGGCATCGTTTAAAAATAGCTCTGGTAAAGTCTTCTAGAACCTGAAAAATACCGTATTCGGGTTTTTAGGAGCCTTGCCATCATTGTTCATCTGTGAATATTATGAAAAAAACCAAAAAAATCGTTGTTTCTAAACTTTTTTCCACCACTTTAGGGTTTACCGTATTGGCGAGAGGAAGAGGACAATTTACATTCAATGAAAAAAAAAAACGAAAGTCACCCTTTCATCGATTCGAATAGTGATAAATTATACTTTGAGACATGCTCTATCTAATGATGTAAAATTTAATTTTTGACATAATTAAACCATCTGGTAGGAATGTTCAATAGATATTTTGAATCTGCAAATCGTCTGATATCAAACATCGAAGAAATTTCTTAAATGTGATTTACAATCACTTCTGAGCAAAAGAAAACTATTCTCGAGAGCATGTCGTCTGCAATGCGAAAAATTGACTCGTTGTTTTACAGAATGAGAATATTTTACCCTTTCAATACTTCGCTCTAGAGCACAAGTGTTCGATCAATACCAATTATAGTCAGTCAATTAAAGACTAACGACAAAAAAACAAATCCTTATTAATAATTTACTAAAAACAAAAAATTTACCTAAATCAATATGTTCTTGTATACCAAAACCAAAATTACCCATTTCACTAAAATTGCCTTTATGTAATTCATATTCTTTAACTTTAAGACCTTTTTCTAAAATTTCTTTAGCTTTTTCACCACGTACAGTACAAAAAACACCAATTTTTTCATTACGACGAATACCAAATGAACGTACAGTATAACGTGCTTTTGAAAAAACAGGTGTTTGACCAGTTAACTGTTCAAGTACTTTTGATGCACGTGTTAAACGATCACCAGATTCACCAACACAAATATTTAAACATAATTTTCTTATACGTAAATCTCGCATAAGATTTTTTGCTTTATCTTTTTTTAGAATTCGACCTTTTGTTGTACTCGTTTTCGTCGTCGTCGTCGTTGTTGTTGATGTTGCTTTTCGACCGGTCATAATGATTATTAAAAAAAAACAAAAGATATTTCTAATCTGTAAATAATAAACAATAATAGGTCAAACAAAAAAACAAAAATTACATCGAATATAAGATTACATTGTGAAAAAAGATGCATAAGTAGATTTTTTGTGATAAAAAGAAAAAAAAAATGCAATATACAAATCACCGATAGCAAAAAAAGAAAAAAAGGAATGATAGAATAATTTTGTTTTTGTTGTATTATGATGACTAGAAGTATAGAAACACAAATGAAAAGAAAATCTATTGCTAATTACAATAATCAATAAAACTACATATTTAATGTTATCTAATTATTTATTTGAAGACCTTGAAATTTTTCTAATTGCGATTGTTGACGAAGATAATCAAATGTTTTTTGAATTTGATTACGAATAAATTCATCATTTTCATTTGATGATATTTTCGACATTTCATTTTGAAGTTTTTCAATTAATGAATTTAATAAAGTTATATCAATCTAAATAAATAATAATAAAAAAAAATTCTCAATAATGAAAATATCATTGTTTTTTTTCTAATTTTAATCTTACGTCAGGAAGATTTTGATTAAAAAAATAAATATAAGTATTAAGTAATTCATTATATAATTGAACTTGAACACTTTGATCCATTATTTGTGTTGTTAATTTCGTTGCCTTTTTTAAACATGCTAATACTTTTTCATTATCATGAACCTAAATATTGACGATATATACAGGGTGATCCAAAAGTTCCCGGAACTTCGGTATATCTATTTATGGAAATGATATTCCATCCATCTTTCTATGCCATATATTCGAGGTAGTTATTGTGATATTCCATGGAAAATTTCATCCTTTTAACTCACTCTTTAGATATCTTTTTGTAGTAAACAATAGGTATTGAATTGATTACCTTGGTTATTGCTTGAATTTCAATAGTTTTTTGAGCCCTCAAAAATTTGGAGAAGTTTCTAAATGGTGAATAGATTTTACGTGATACTATTAACGGTTATCAGACATTGATGTGCCATCGCAATATTGGATGAGAATCATTATCGAAACTTAGGTCAACAAGAAAAACTAGTCCTCTAAGCGACATTTATTGTTAAGGATATCAAAAATAGTAATATCTGCCAACCATTTAATGATGTTTTAACCATTGTTTGACATCTAGTGGTTCTTATAAGAGCTGGTACTTCTATCTATATTAGTAATTGATGTTTAAATTGACAGATAAAAAAGTTATCAAACAAAAACGTATCATCATGGTCTAGTCCGATCAGTTTCCATCATGGGTTTTTTGAGCAACATGTAAAATAATGCTATTATTTACTTAAAAGTGAGAGGACTGAAGTTAAGCCTCGTCAAGCATACTTACCTTAGACCAGGCTTCCAGCATCTGAGTCTTGAAGATGTATTCAAGATAGACTTAATAATCAGCAGCTACAACAATTTACGAAGGGTTATAACCAAAGAGGTCAATTCAATACTTATTATTTACTTCGACAGGATATCCAAAGAGTGAGCTAAAGGACTGAAATTTCCCATGGAATATCAGAATAACTACCTCGAATATATGGCGTAGAAAGATGGATGGAATGTCGCTTCCGTAAATAGATATACCGAAGTTCCGGGAACTTTTGGATCATCCTATGTACTAAAAATTTGTTTTAATTTTTATAAAATTTAACCTGTTCTGATTTTTGTGTTGATTCATTAAGACGTTGTGCACTCCAAAATAGATGTGTACATAAAAGTAATGTTCGAACTTGATCTGGTCGTTTAACTAAACGTGTTGCTGCTTGTGTTAATGATTGTCGTAATGTTGAATGATTTTCTTCAGCAAAACATGTTACTTTTTCTAATGTACCTATTAAAAGTGTTAATGAAGCAGATTGTGCTCGTGTATCACCTGCTTGTTCTTCATATAATGTATAAGCCTGAAAGAATAAGTATTATTGTTCTTATCATAATTAACTGTTATAGGATATAACATTTGGATAAAAATGATGAAAACTTTCTTCATGAACAAAGATCTTGCGAATGTTATTGAACAGTTTCTACATTTCTATTTTCTGATGCTTGTCAAAATTCGAAGCAAAGCTGTCTGCGAGAGTACTGTCTCAATCCTGAAGCAACACATTCGTGGCCAGGGATGCCACCTCTTCAAGCCAGAAAAACGGAAAGTTGTTTTCTGTGGGATTTTCACATTTCTGTGAGTTTCAATAGCTGGCTGCTTCTCTTCATGATTCCTCGTTATTCGCAAAGCTCCAAAGCACAATAAATGATACATAAAAAAAATGAATCTTTTATTAAGCATCTCATTTTTTCAATGGATTCCGGTTTGAAACTATTTTTGAGAGAGTAGATGTGTAGGCATATTCGTGTGACATTGAAGTATTTCAACCGATCTGTATATCTGCAACGAGTGAATCGACTGAGGAAATCATTGGATATATGAATCGTTTCCGAAAAAAACATTTTCGGTAAGAGCGCTGTTTTTCGAAATGAAACACAGAATGAATCATATAGACAACAGTAGACTGTTAATGACAGCTAACAAGAGACCTGTACCGGAGTTAGTTTCGGAATCAACTAAATTTCTTGATAATAACTAATTTTTAATACCAGAATTTTTGTGCGCTTTAAGTTTTATTTTTTGATAGGTTTTCTACAAACTGATGTACTGTGAAGGCTCAATCAACGATATATCGAGGCCTATGGACACGAAGAGAAAATTGAAGTCGAAAAAATCAAAGTCAAAGTTGATTCAGGCTTTCTTTACGTGTTCGGAGGTCTCGATGTGACGTTGACTGGGCCTTCAACTTGTATCAATTTGTAGAAAACTCATTAAGGAACAAAATCTAGAAACTATGAAAATTCTCATTTTAAATAAAAGATTATTGGCAAGAAATTTAGTTCACTTCGAAACGACTTCGACGTTGATTGTAATTCAAATCTCTACAGCTAACATAATCTATACCGTAGTAACGGATTTTCTGTCTTAAAAGTTTTCCGATACAAAATAAACTAAAGTTTTTTATATGAAAAAGCGGAAGAGGTGGCATCCCTGTTCGTGGCAATCGAGCTCTGGATCACGAATCCTTAGACAAAGAAATAATGCACCACCGCTTCATCTAGTAGATCCATTCATCAAGCCCTGCCTTCTCTCAACTGAAGGATAAACATTGGATTTTCTTCAAAAAAAAAAATCGAACAACATCGTCTATTCAAATTAGTTTTGAACCGCTTGAGAAAAGAATTTCTATGTTGTACGAACAGTAACAAAATGTTGCCATGTTTTCTTTTTACTTATGTTTTGTGTCGAATAAAGTTGGTCTGTGAGTGGTGAAAACAACTTCAGGGAGATTTTTTGGAAGATTCTCCATCTCTGCTGACTACAAGATCATATACTTAATATCTCTAATCATTCTATGTTTAATAAGGAAAAATGGAATTTTTCAATGATTTACCATCGTTTTTCACTAATGATGGAAGAAGCGTCCAAAAATCAAACTTTCTCATAAATTGCCCAAAATTATCGATTCTGCTGCAAAATAAATATGATATTTGGAATCAACATAAAAAATTACATCGAATAACTTATATTTTTTTCCGTAAAAATACTTGGTTTTCTCAATAGGTTATCTTATCCAACAGGGTTCTGTTTTTTTTTTGTATTCAATACCTGTGAAAAGAATTCATAAGCAATTGTTTCAGCATTTTCTGAACCAATTTCACTAGCTGCTAATGCACCTTGTAAATATAAACGTAATGGAAGATCATTTGTTTCTAATTTTGTTAATGTATTTATTAATTGATTACATAATTGAAAAAGTTTTTGACATTTTTTTTCCCATTTTTCATCCTAAAATATATATATAAGAAATGTCTCTTTTTTTTGTTTTTGAAATTTAATTTTAACCTGTTCACGTATATTTTTATATCGAAATGTTAATGCATATGCTTGCATAATAATTGGTGGATATGTAAAACGCATACGTTCTAAACCACCATTTTTAAATGTATCTTGACAAATTTTTATAATATGATATTGTTGATCAGGATCATTAGGTGCTTGAAAATTATTATATAAACGTGCAACAAGATTTTGTTCTTCAACAAAATCTTCATTTGTTATTGTTTGTCTTGATGTTTCTAATGCACTATCTGTTTGATCAATAATTAATGTTAATAATAATTCAAATAATTGTGTAACTTGTTCAGCTGTTGGAATAATTGTTTCTTTATCAAGTATACTATTGATAATATACATACAAACAGTATGTCGTTCACGATAACTAAGTAATTGTAAAACAAGTTTATAATGATTTAATTTTAATACATCAAGAATATCATAACAATCAATTGGAATTTTAAGCATTTTAACTAATTCTTTTGCTGCTGGTGTACCTGTTTGAACTCTAACAAAATAAAAAATAATTAGTACAATCTTATTTATATTCATGAAACATCTTACTGTGTATCTAAAGCAATATTATCAAATATTTTTCTTGTATTTTCAAGTACTTTATTTCCATATTCAAATTGATCACGATAACATTTTAATGATAAATTAAGTAAAGCACTTTGTAAAGCAACAATATCTTCTGGTGGCATATTAATACGACTCTATATTAAAATTGAATTTAGTTTAATATTTGAATGAAGAAATAAATTTAATTTACTTTAACAACTTCCGCTATTTGTTCAGAAAATATATCAAATAATTGTATATTTTCCGGAATATTTTGTTGACTACCATCACGTGTTGAATATGCTGTTAAACTTTAAAAAAAAACATAATCAATAATAAAGACAAAAAAAAAAAAAAGATGTGAATATATTTATATTACCGATCAATAAGTGATATAAGAATGTTACGAATATTAACACTAGCACTTAATTCACGACAAGCTTTAAGAAATTCATTGAGTGTATTCAAATGATATTCATCTGGAAAAACCTTAAATAAGAAAAAAAGAATTAATTTATACAACACATTTTTGTCGGTT